GCTATGCTATGCTATGCTATGCTATGCTATGCTATGCTATGCTATGCTATGCTATGCTATGCTATGCTATGCTATGGCATCTATTCTGTTTTCTTTGCAGTGTTCCGGGAAAGTTTTGTAACTGGTTTCTACTGGTTTTCATTTCCTACTCTAGACAATTTCTCTTTGTGTGGTGGAGTATAGAGAGTAGAAGTATCAGATTTAATTTGGAAATAGCTGTATAACTCAAGCCTTTGTTAAATTAGGCAGTGTAGCTCATTATGGGTTATATTTTCTTCAAAAAATAATCCTGATTGTTTTCTAGAAGGAAAGGATATCTCCAAACTTTCAGCATATGTTTCAAAACCAAGATAACAACAACAACAATGAAATGCAAAACGAAAACCAACATACATTTGAAGTAGTTCCAAAACAAGCATTGAGACATTACCAAGTCATGTGTAGGGATGTAAAAGAAAGCTACCATGGGTATTAAAGGGAACAAACTGTCAACATCCATATCTTAGCTAAACATTCTCTCACAAGCTCTTGGAAAACCAGGAAATATTTTTATAAAAATCTGTTTTTACAGTAATGTGCAAACTTAGCAATGATAGAACCATGAATTTTTTAATTTTTAAGAAAACTTTAGAGTAATTTGCATATTTATATATTATATAAATCACAAAACTTTAGTTGAACTTGATGCTGAAAACACATAGTGATTCCATCAACAATTTTTTCCCCCTAGACGTAGATGACTGTTTCCCATGTCCAGAGGATCAATATCCAAACAAGGATCGGGATAGTTGCCTTGCAAAAAGTATAACTTACCTGTCTTTCCAAGAACCTTTGGGCATTTCCTTGGTAATGATCGCAGTCTCCTTTTCTGTCATCTCAACTTTGTTGCTGGGGATCTTCATTAAACACAGGGACACTCCCATCGTCAAAGCCAACAATAGGAACCTCACCTATGTTCTTCTTGTTGCTCTCCTGCTCTCCTTCTTTTGTACTTTCCTCTTCATTGGGCAACCTGACCAAGGGAAATGTCTCATGCGACAAACCGCTTTTAGCATCACCTTCTCAGTCGCCCTTTCTTGTATCTTGGGTAAAACAACCATAGTGGTTCTTGCTTTCATGGCTACCAAGCCAGGCTCCAAAATGAAAAAATGGTTAGGGAAAAGTCTGGGCAACTTCATTGTCCTTTCTTTCTCCCTGGCGCAAACAACAATCTGTGTTGTGTGGCTGGCACTTTCTCCCCCATTTCCAGATTCTGACATGCATTCAGTGGCTGAAGAAATTGTCCTGGAATGTAATGAAGGTTCAACTACAATGTTTTATTTTGTCCTTGGGTTTATGGGATTCTTGACTGCTGTCAGCTTCACGTTGGCCTTCCTAGCTAGGAATTTACCTGACAGCTTCAATGAAGCCAAATTTATCACCTTCAGTATGTTGGTCTTCTGTAGTGTCTGGATATCATTTGTTCCCACCTATCTAAGTACGAAGGGGAAATACATGGTGGCAGTGGAGATCTTC